CATTGGTTTCATACGAAGGACCAACGAAAATGGGGTTTAAACACTGAACCTGTGGGATATTAGTGCTCAAATCTCAAAATAAAATCTCTTATTTTCATTTTTTTTCCTCTATTATTTTTATCGTAACCAATGACAGGATTTCAACATTGATTAGATCTGGTGTAACTTGCAGCCAGAACTGGAGATCAACTAAACTCACCCTAGCTTACCGAGTCCAAAATATAATGTTTTTTAATTCAATTTCAATTTTTCCATATCTGGATGGACTGAATCCAACTTGCTGTAGTTGGTTTTGCATGGGTGATTTTCCATCTAGCTATTAGTTTTTAATTAAAAAAGGGCCAAAGTGTAATGTCATGCAATTGTTCATTGAATCCGACTCGTTGCAATATAAAGGAGAATTAATTCACCATATAACTCAACTCAACAGTACATTCTTTCAGGTTCTGGAATTCATCCATTTCCAATGGGCCTAATTTGTATGCTAGGATATCATATCAGCCACAAAAATTGGGCCAATATAATTGGGTTTAAGACCAATCTGATCCAAATTCCTTCTAGTTTGCAGTGTGTAACATCGAAAAGGACAAGTAGTATGAGCTAAGTCCGATGGGTACTGAGTAATTACTCGATCTCTTCCCAATGCTAACCAAACAAGAAATAAAATTTTTTTAAGACTTCAAGTACATTGCGTCAGCTGCGATTGCATGGGATTTTGACCCATCATTTCTATTTTTCCTGTTACTCGATAAGAGAAAAGATGCCACCCCGAATCCCCATTATGTGTGATCGTATTAGTATTGCACTTATGTATACTTGGTCCCCTTAATCTTTTTTACCAAGTAATAGTACATTTTTTTACAAACTTATTTTTGGAGCCAAGAATAATTAGTTAACCTTGAACATATATATATATAAGGGTAAAATTTAATTTTCATGAATAAAATGATAAACAAATACCATCCTTGAAATATGCCCATATCAATGTAATCAGAGAAGCAACGCTTATCTATGCAAAAAGATAAGAGTCTTGTCAATTGGATATTATAAATTTAATTATATTTCTCAATCAAATTCTTTGACGTGCAATATTTCTTAAAATATATGTTGCTTAGAGTTAATTAGTTGAGCATCAATTCTAAAACATCACTTGTTTCGATAATAGATACAAGGGATAAGTTCATATTATATACACATGTTACTTAAACCGATTACATTTTTTCACCCTTTTATTTCCTTTTATCTTTTTCTTGGTGACTACTTATCTTTGTCTTAATTGAAACCATGCATATAAGAAACTATGAAAGAAATGGGAATTGTAAAATCAGTATAATCATTAAGAATATCCTTCTGAACCGATAAGAACAAGATGAATCCGGTCATGGGGGTGCAAGAGATATATATAATTAAACACTAAACCTCATTACTCACTAGAAAATGACATATAATTAAACATATTACAATTTAACAGTCAACTCGTTCGCTTTAATTTGTTTAATGAAGGAGTGTCTTCGAATTTGTAGTAGGATACGGCAACAAAGAGAGCAAATCAATTAACAAAAGATATGATAGATTTATATATGCAAATCTGTTATGATGAGTTATGACAGGAAACAGGACGATGCAAACAATGGTAGAAAAAGTAAGATTAGTGTTTCTTGTTTAAGTCGAAATTGGCGAAAACAGCTATGTCAGAAAGGAGACCATTTCTCTGTCAATTGCTTCTACTCAGCTTCCTGATATATCAACATTAATTAAAAAAAGGAAATCACATTCCAGTAACTTCTGAAAATATTATATAAAAGCTTTTATTATATATTGCTCTATGTTGGATTTGTGTATTGGCCATTTTAAAGGTCATAGAGAAATGTTTTCTTAGTAAAGGGATTACTATATATGTGTTAATGCAACAAGAAACCAACAAGATATAGAATTTACTTTAGACAATAATATTGTAATGACAGTCCACATCCAAGTTGAGAGTGAGTGAGTTGGACAGGGCACATTTTTTGGAAATTAATGTTTTGGTTATTCTAAATTCCGTACGGAGAAAGGGAAAATGATGTTTTATACAAATTAATGCTAAAAAGAATTAATTAGTCTCTTGTGCTTTCTAAGATACAACTAAGATGAGTTCAATAATTTATATCTTCAGTGGGAAAACTTAATTGAATTCGTTGGTTCATTGAATTACTCTTAAGAAAGGATATAATGTAAGTTTAAAGTTAAAATCTAAATACTTACACCTTCTTCCTCTAATTCAAAACTAGAAGCAATAGCAAATGGTGAAACAATTAAAATGATATAAAACGAATTTAGATAGTATTACATGCATTAACGTATTGCACTCAAATGATATACTTACATATTTATTTTTTATTTTAGAGATTTAAGAGAAAAGTACTAAATATTTATAAATTACAATAAAAATTGAAATTTTATATTTTATATGAGTGTGTGAAATATGCATCTATAGTCTTTTTCGATAAATTTTAAGTAATGGTTAATAATAAATTATGAGAAATATATTGTAATGTTGAATTAACTAAAATGGACAAACAGAATATTAGAATTTATTTCAATTGTTTGAGGTATTGTGATTGTAAATATTACACGAGGAACTTTATGGAAGTTTTTTCCTTTATTTAAAGTACTAAAATAAAATTATAAATTGTAATGAGATGGGAGAATGTGGGGACTAAAATCATCTACCTTGTCAAGGTTTTGGGTGAGCATTGGAAAAAATGAAAATTAAAGTGTACAAAATCCATACCCCATTTTCATCGATCTCTAATTATTATTATTATTATTATTTCTTATGAATCGGTCTCTGCTTAACTACAACCACTCAATAGGGGAAAAGTAATAGGCTAAGTCACTAGAAATCAAATGATAAACAAGAATGAAACAAACCTTTAAAATATTTAGTAAAATACATTTTCATATGTGATTTTCACATCTTTTGCGGGAAAAAGGTCTGGAAAAGTTCTTTTGTACAAATTTCATTGAAGAAATTTGGAACTAAATGAAGCATGTAAAATATGTCTATGGAACAAGACAACCAAATGAAGAAAATGAAGGTTTGATTATACATAAAATCCTATGCTTCTTCACACTTTGGTTTCTTGGCATATATATTAGAACTGGCAGTCACATGACAAAGTAATTGAAAACAAAAACGACAATAGCTTAGCATCGGTTATGCTATAAGCCAGATGCAAGAAACTTCATTTGCAATACCAATCTCTTGTTATATTCTGATGATGGCATGTCACTATCTTCCTATCAGTCGGAAGCAAATAACAATACTTTACTTGCCCTTGATTTTCTTTCTTTCAATTTGTTTCCTTTCCTTTTTCTTTAACTAATTTACTTTTCAATTACTCTTTCCTTTCCTTTTCCTTTTATAGTTTTTTAAAATATTGGATTCAATTACTACTTATTGATAGAATTTAATTGAATCCAATATAAAATAAGTAGTAATTGATAGAATTTTTGAAATTGGATTGATAGAACTTTAATAAAAAATTCAAATCAATATATTGATAGAATTTAATGTAAAAATTAATAATATGTAAAAAAAATCATTAAAAATATTATTTATTATTTAAATTTGATCGATACTTATTTAATGATAAAATTTTATTAATATTTTTACTAAATATATATAAATATATATCAAAATTTATTAAATTTTTTTAAATTTTATACATTTAATCTATATAACAAAATTTTTTATTTTTAATTTTAATTTAATTATTTTTAATTAAAAACTTCACAAACTTTTCTTAAAAACTTAATCTGAACCTTTTTCAAAATAAAATATATGAAGAAATCAATATTATATTCCGTCGATCCCGTCAAAATTAATTTTGTTACAAACATTGCTTTTTATGTCTTCAAGTATTTATATTCACGTCAAATTCACAAATCCCAATGAGTTAAATCGATTGATTTGGGGCTTCAATTTTTGTGGTTTAAAATCAAACATCCAATGGCCAACACAGTACTATATTAAAGTGTTAAGCATTGATCCTTTTCTTAATTTTTTTTCTCTTCTGATTTTTCTTTCGTTTTCTTGAAAACACACACACCTCCTATATATATAGGCACACACACTTCACGACCTGGCTTAGTAATAATTAACTATATATATCATCTTCTCTGCAGGTATTCACTTCTACTCTCAAAAATAATATTAAGAACGAAAAGAACTGACTCTTTTGGTATAATTATTTCCATTTAGAATGAAGAACCTCTCTCTACAGCCAGTTTCTCTTCATCAAGAAGTAAAATTATAAGGAGAAATGATAAACACCTGATCAGGAGGTACATACCAGTTAATAAACCAAAGGGTAGCCTTCCCTGAAGAGCAATATTAATGCATTTTAAGTTATGGATATGAACCCTTCCTTGAATTGCTTACATAGCCTTATCTGTCTTTTCTCAGTGTTATGCATACATATTTGGTAAAAGTACTTGCGTTCCCAAGTGACTAAAAATGCAGAGACAAATGGCATTTCTGTAGTTTTATGTGAACAAGAGGCTTGAATCTTGTATGCTGTAGCTAGCCTTAATAGAAATATCAAACAATCCCCACGGAAATATATGCCCAGGGAGACACTGACTTACTCAGAAAAACCTGTCACAGAAAATGACACTCCACTGCAAACTTTATCAGTCTATCGCTCAAACCCTAATCATGATTTCATTTATAATTCTTCTTAAAAATAATAAATCCTTCTTTTTCTTTCGATTTACAGGCTGCTTTGGTTTTCCTTTCCTTTCCTTTCCTTTCCTTTCCTTTCCTTTTTCCTTAGCTTCACACATGGTAAATGAAAAATTATCAATCAATGAAAAAACAAAAAAATCTCACACACCAAGTTAATCAAAACTATCTTATACATTCCATTGGCACTCGTTCTTCCTCAAACTGGCAAATATATATAAAGAAAGTTGCACACTCACACTCTTTGATTTTTCTTCGACTTTTTTCTCAGTCAAGATGTTGTTGGTCTATGCCCTAGTCGAAGCTCCAGATCAAGCTCTTCAATGGATGTGTCCTTGCAGTTGCTGCTGATATTGTTGCCATCATTGAGATTATTATCCGCCGATGTCGTTGAAGGTTCAGCTTTGGCTGAGTATCGGAGAGAAGGAGAAGAATTGTTCGATCCCGGAGGCGTTACCTGAAAATTTATAGGCGGTGCTGCTGCCATCAAGTTGTTAGAGGAATATGGTGAAATAGAGAGAAGAGTCGAAGGTGAATCAATGGAGCATGCATTCATAGGTGGAGAAGGGAAAACCCCAATAGGGTTAGGTAATTGGTAGAGGTGGCAAAAGCCCCCATTTGTGGTGAATTCTTGAGTCGGGATTAAGAGAGTAGACGAGGACGTAGTTGTAGAAGCTGATGAGGTTGGATTGCTTAATGTACCAGTACCAAGCTGTGTTTGGTGAAGCCGAGCCCTGTCACGGCGGTGCACATTCATGTGACCCCCAAGGGCTTGAGCTGAACGGAATTCCCTTCTGCAAAAAGTGCAAGTGTAAGACCTTGGCGGCCAAGTTGTGCCCATGACATTACCTGTGTCCTCGGCAAAGGCCCTAACCTCCCATGAATCATCGTCTGCTTCCTGAGGTTGCCCCTTAGTGTTCCACATCCACGAACCACCCGTTAAGTTTGGGTCAGGATGATGTTGCTTCTGATTTTGCTTAGATTGAGCTAACCTTTGAAGTGGGGTCAATGAGAGAAGGCCAAGCTCAGCAGCCATGGTACGATAAACATTTAAGATGGGAGATAGAGAGTTGATTAGGAATGCAATGGGGAAAATGGGTTAAATATAGAGTGGGAAATGAGGATGGGTTTAAAGAGGGAAATGTACGTAGAGACAAAATAAAACCCCAACACCGGGCATATCACCCAAATCTTGTACCTAGCATTCGGATTTTTGCAACATTGACATTCATAATAACTTTGCCCGCTCAACTGGCTATACTGTTACTCTCTGTGCACAAGGACAATGTCATCCTTTGGCTGCAACGCCAACTATTGTTTACTGGTTCAAATATCTCATGTATTTCCTGCTCTTCAATTTCGATTTTTATGGGTGGCACTTCGCAATAAAATCTTAAATGCATCAAACCCATATAGCAAAAAGCAAGACTTGGATGAAGTTTCTTAGATGAAGTTTCTTAAGTTACGTTCATCAAGTTCCCCATTAAAAATGATTAAATAAAAAATTAATAGATAAAAAGATTTATTACATAGATCAAATATATAAAATTTTAAAAAATTTTAATAAATTTATATATATTTTTAGATAAATATTTTTAATAAAAATATTAATAAAATTTTTACTGTTAAATAAGTATTGATTAAATTTAAATTATAAATAATATTTTTAACATTTTTTATATATTATTAATTTTCACATTAGATTCTATTAATTTGTCGATTTGAATTTTTTATTAAAATTTTTATTAAATCATTTTTCAAAAAAAATTTCATAAACTTCATTTAAAAAACTTCATATAAGTTTTCTCCATTAATTCGACACCCTCTAAAAGTTTGTTTGAACTTTGACACTCTCTTTTGATATGTAATAAATAAAAAAGAAGATACTCTTTTTTATTACTCTATCAGCATTTTCTGTGTCTTTGGGTAAAATTTCTTTATTAATTAGCTATAAAGAGCAAAAAGAAGTCACTTATTGTACCATGCATGAATTGCTAAGAATTCAGACTTAATATAATGATTATTAACTTTTTTTTAAAAATTTCATAATCTAAAACATAATACGATAATATGATACATAAATATAATATAAAAGTGATATAATTTAAAATTTTAATAATTATTATATATAGATTTAATAAAATCAAAAAATATATTTTATAATTTTATTTGATACGAATTATAACATATAATTTTCGTGTTGTACACGATAAACGAATTTTAATATTTTATACAATATAAATACAAAATTCATCAAATCTATTTTCTTTAAGAAAGTTACAAGTTTTAAATTTCCCCGTATGGATAAAACTAAGGAAAATAAAAATGTATTTTGTGATTGATCTCCCAAGGTTTCACGCTGCTTGCATTTCCGCCATATTTTCCTATTTTGAATATCCAGGGTTTTCATCAAATCGTATATTCCAATTTATTTAGTTTGTAAATATCAACCAGCTGCCTCTCATTAATTTCATATTATTGCCACATGGTACAGAATTAAACATATACAAATTAATCATCCTCAACAAACTTTCCTGTCAACCTGAGATTCAATACAAACAGTATATCTGTTTTTTGGGATACATGCAATTAACCCTTTGTAGCGATGCGTTAAGCGATAAATTTGTTTAGCTAATGTGTAGTTGTGGAAAAATTTAATGCTTCATTGGAAGTTTTCCGTAATATAAAGTCATTAAGGACAATATGTAATATATTGGTATATACCACCAACCATGTACACTGCAATAATGCATTAACTGATATATCTTCAGCTTAATTCTTGCAATTTTGATTCACCTTTTTTTTTCCCATTTCGAGTCCTCAGCCAAAGAAAAGTATTGTAGCATTGATAAAAGGTTTCATTCATACCTTGCAATTTTCATAGAGATATTGTGACCTTTGATAAATTAATTAACATTTGATCATTGTATCTATAGTGTTAGTTATTAAATTTGTCTGTCAAAACTTTAGTAAGAGAGGGTTTGGGCTTGGGTTTCCACATTTCTTTTAGCGGGTGGGATATGGGGATAAAGTTGTAAGAGGAAATGCACTAGGCAAAAGGGAGGCACGGCTGGTTGGGACTTGGAAGGGTAGGCTAACCTTTTCTCTGGCTTGCAGTGCTGATCAGCTAATCTGTTTTATCTTTTCCAATTTTGTTTCCTTTTGCTAATTTTTTTAACTTTTGGGTGTAAACGTAGGCTTATGTCGCTTCTGTTGTACTGTATTCGGCCTGCAATGCAGCCGTACTTCCTACAAAGCTGCAGCAGCTTCGCCACACAGCTAGCCAGCTTTCCCCTTAATAGCCAAAATCAAAACCAAAGTAACAAACATTCCCCTAAAGTCAGATAAATGCAAAAGTTAAAACCCTTTTCTTGTTTTCTGATCTGAACTGTGCCCTCTCTGTCACCTCAAAACAAAACTTACTTGGGCGAGAGCTCTTTGCCAAAATTTTAAACTTAAACTATCATCGCATGTGTATTTCTCTGTCAAACTGTACCGTAGTAAGTAAATGATCACGCATTTTTTAACCATATAATGGAGAGTAATTAATTGATATATATTTGTGGTCCATTCTACTCAAGAGAGATGAACAGTGACCCACCAAAACTCATGGCCTGAAATTGGATCTTGCTAAGCTAGCCATGTGAAGGCTTCATGACTTCATCTGTATCATGTGGCACTGTTAAAGAAGAAGCACACCATTTTTTTCCTTGCAGAACTGCAGGCGATTTTACAGTTAGTTTAGCTACCTGAAAATTTAAAGAAAACCAAAAATTAGATGCTTGAATATCATAGTACGGTGCCCAACATGGAATAATTAATCCACTCTGGATCTGAAATAAACATAAGCAAAAAGGATTAATTAACCTGCAAAAACAGGGAAAGTACACAATTACATATCTCTGTTTAAAAGGTACATAAGAACCTATATACTTTATTCGTTCTTAAATTTTGATATTATATATAGTTTCCAATTCAAGCCAAGAATTAAATTTGGTTTGCTAAATAAAATATCAGTTTATTTTTTAAGATGGGCCATTATTAGGTTAATAAATGGCAGTGCTCAGGATAACTAATTAATGTTATATATATACTTATATAATATGATATAGTTGAGTTGGTGTCACTTTATAACTCAATGTTACTTATTATCATAACATATAGATCCGTAAATCTATAGTTAAATTTAACAAAAAGAATCATCATCAATTTTTTTACTAGGTGTGATTGGCTACTTAAAGAATTTATGCTCTTAAGGAGCTCATAAGCTTGACCAATAGTCTTTAAAAGAATAAGTTCAAATCTACTAATCAAAATAAGATTTGGGAGCTCAATTACATGTGAAGAAGGTTATAACGCCCATCCAAAGGATAGTACCATATTATTTAAATTTATCTATAGGTTTGGAGTCTAACTATTTCAAATTTTTATGTGAAAATATTAGAAATAATTTATAAGATTCTTCCATCAATCTTGTAGAATTCCTAAAAATATTTTCTCACCTCAAGAGTATTCAAGGATCTCATTTGTTTCCTTGAAGAAACTTTATCATCGAAAAAGATTTATTTATTATTCTTTTTTATCGAAAATATATCTAATTATTCTACCATTTGAGCCAAATTAGAAATATTTTTTTTAATTTCTAAATTTTTCACAATTTGGGCCTATTTAGATTTTTTTTTCGTTGGATTTCTAAATTTTTCACCATTTGAGTCAATTTAGAAATATTTTCTTTTTTCAAAATTTTTAAAATTTTCACCATTTGGGCTTATTTAGAAATTCTTTCTTTTTTTGTTGGATTTCTAAATTTTTCATCATTTGGGTCAATTTAGAAATATTTTCTCTTAATTTATTTTTTTGTCTTCAAAAAGAAAATAATATGATAATTATTTTTTATTAAAATTTCATTTAAATTCTTCCACCATTTAGGACAAATTTAAAGAAATTTCTCACCTAGAGATTTCTTAAGAATTTACCATTTAAAATTTTTAAAAATCTCATCATTGGATAATTATCAAATATTTTTAACCAAATTTGGAAAAGAATATAATTACTTTTATTGAAATTTCATCTAAATTATTCCACCATTTGGGACAAATTTAGAGAAAATTTTTCACTTAGAGATTTCTTAAAAATTTACCATTTGAAATTTTTAAAAATCTCATCCTTGGATAATTTGTACTTAATTCCAAAATTTTTATCAATATTTTTTATTTTTTTTTTCTATTTTTTTGTTTTGAAAATAAATATTAATTATTGTTATTAAAACTTTATCTAAATTATTCCACCATTTGGGATAAATTTAGACAAAATTTCTCACTTAGGATTTTATAGAAATTTACCATTTTGAAATTTCTATAAATTCCATCATTGGATAATTAATATTTATTCTCAAAATTTATTTTATTTTTTACCTTTTTATTTTTATTTTTTTAAAATTTAATCATGCAAAAATACTCAAAATAAATAAATAAATAAAGTAAAAAAATACTCAAAATAGGAGGCAGCTCGACTCTAATGGCTACAGCACGGCTCGACTGCAAGAAGAAAAGCTAGAATGACTTAAAAAGTGGCTTCGCTTGGCTCAACTTGAGATAAAAAGTGAAAAAAGTCGTCAGAATCTGAAATTTTTTTAGATTTTTTATAAAAAAAAAAATTTTAACCCCAAAAAAATCTAAAATTTTCTTGATTACTTTCTCTGATTTTTGCCTCTTTTTCCAATTTTTTTTTTTTTGTGTGTCTATGTGATCTATATAAGCATGTATTTATAAAATTCTAAATCTGAGAACTCCAATCCATAAAGGAATCTCAATTTTCTTTGAATTCCAACCTTAAACCCAACTTCAACTTTACAACCCAATTCAACAATTCACATAAACTCAATTATCTATTTTTTATTTTTTTTCATTTTTTATTTTTTTATTAACAAAATTAACCTAAGTAGAACCCTGGACAGATTAAGGTGTCTATAGCTACCTTTTTTTGCGTATTTTTCTGTACAACTGAAATTGTGCAAACGTATAGACAACCCAATCAACTTAACACATATTTTTTGTTTTTATTTTTTATTTTTGAAAAAGTAAACAAAGCTCATCTAAATAGAAGCTCAA